TTCGCGCCATCGATGTGTGCTGGGTCTCCGAAACGCGCATACAGGATCCGAGTAGCGTCATTCATTTGACCTCACCATGCCTAAATAAAGAACCAACTCGATTTACGCTTCGTGTATCTGGAAGCCCTGATTCTACTTCCCGTGGCCTCGCCGGCGTAGGTATAGCATTGAGTCCCAGGGCAAAACTAGCTCTCTTAGAGTGGATCCCAGTAGACAGTCGTTTGTACGCTGTCCGACTGAACGGAACAGTAAGGATCCGAAAAGATAGAGACACTCGTCGTTGCCTCTTCGTCGTCGCTGCCTATTCTCCCACTGACTGCAGCTCAGATGATGTAAAAGATGAGTTTTACAGAAAGCTTTCGGACCTTTTCCGAAAAGCTAAGCGCTCGGATGTAGTAATAGTGGCCGGTGACTTTAACGCTCAAGTAGGTAAACTAAGTGATAGGGAAAGACACCTAGGTGGATCTTATAGCATCGTGGCTCAAAGAACAGATAATGGCGACCGTCTGTTGCAGCTATGTTCAGATAACCGCCTGTTCCTTGCAAATACTAACTTTAAGCATAAGGAAAAACATCTTTTAACATGGAGACCCCCTAATTCGTCCCAACGTTGGACCGAAATAGATCACATCGCTATCAGCCACCGATGGAGGGGCTCGGTAGAAGACAGTCACTCATTCTGGAGCACATGCTTAGATTCAGATCATGCTCTAGTACGAGCGCGTATCTGTCTGCGTCTTACTGGACGTAGGAGAGACGCTGCAAGGAAACCTCTTAGGGGCCTACTAAAGATAGTCAAGCTGAGAGTATATTTCAGGAACAACTAGGAAAACAGTTAGGCAGCCATGTATGTGATGCCCACCCCGATGCAGCATGGAATGATATCTGAAAAGCTGTGGAAACAGCAGTGATATCTGCTAGTAAGGTAAACCAGAAGGTTAGGGAGCAACACTGGATCTCAGCAGCATCTATTGCACTGATAGATGCTCGGAAACTCATTCCACCTGGCTCTAAACATAATGAAGAGCGGAGTCAGCTTAAGCGCAAGCTGACAAGAAGTCTACGCAATGATCGTGAACAGTGGTGGGTAGCGAAAGCAAGAGAGACGGAAAAGGCAGCGGCAATAGGTAATAGCAGACAATTGTTCAGACTCGTTAAGGAAACCGGTATTAGGAACCCAATCGTTAGCGAAACAATCTTAGAGAAAGATGGATATATTATACATTCTCAATCCGGGAGATTGGATCGATGGGCAGAAAACTTTAGGGATCAGTTCAACTGGCCTTCAGCCACACTTCGGTTTCCCACGATCGCCAGTCAACCTGAATGGCAAGTTAGTGTACGTCCTCCGACTCTTTACGAAGTTGAAAAAGCCATAGGAAATCTGAAGCGAGGGAGAGCAGCAGGCCCTGACAGGTCTACTCCTGAGATTTTTAAGGATGGTGGTCCAGTATTAGCAATGAGATTAACCGAGGTCTTAGGTAGAATTTGGGAACTGGACGTAATCCCATCTGACTGGTCTCAATCACTGATTGTGCCAGTCTATAAGAAAGGATAAAAGTCCTCTTGTGACAATCACAGAGGAATCAGTTTGACTATAGTATCTAAAATATTAGCTTCAATAATACTTCGGCGCCTAACCAAAGCTCGTGAAGAGCAGACTAGAGAAAATCAGGCTGGTTTTCGACCTGGACGTGGTTGTATCGATCAGATATTCACACTACGTCAGGTTCTAGAACACAGACACACATTCAGACGCCCCACAATGGTAGTATTTCTCGACCTTAAGGTGGCATTCGACTCCGTTGATCGTGAGGTTCTATGGCAGTGTTTGTCACTGAAAGGAGTACCAAAGAAGTACATTACCCTATAAAGGCTCTCTACTCGAACACAACTGGTAGAGTAAGAGCCTATGGTGAACTGTCATCAGAATTGATCACCTCAAGTGGTGTTCGTCAGGGCTGTCCACTCTCCCCATTCTTGTTCAACTTTGTCATTGACGTACTTTTAGAGATAACACTCTCCTCATCTAAATTTCCAGGGGTTGAACTTCTACCAGGAGGTTCACTTGTTGACTTAGAATATGCTGATGACATAGTTCTATTTGGTGAAGACGCTGACAAAATGCAGAGTCTCCTGACCACTCTAAGCAACAATACAAGCATGTTCGGGATGCGATTCTCCCCCTCGAGATGCAAAATGTTGCTTCAGGATTGGGTTGCATCGACACCCGAACTAATGATAGGGAGTAAAGTAATTGAGCGTGTCGATCGCTTCACATATCTTGGAATTCTTATCAGCCCTTGTAGTCTGGTGTGTGATGAAATCTCAGCACGGATACAGAAGGCTCGACTAGCTTTTGCCAACTTGCGTCATTTATGGCGTAGGCGAGATATACGTCTACCAACCAAAGGACGTGTTTACTGCGCAGCAGTTCGTTCCGTCCTACTTTATGGCAGTGAAACATGGCCGGTAAGAGTAGAGGATATTCGTAGGTTACTAATATTTAATCATAGGTGTCTTCGAAATATTGCTTGTATATCCTGGGACCATCGAGTAAGTAATGCAGTTGTTAGGAAACGGGTACTAGGTATGGATGGCAAATCAATTGATGACGTAGTGAAACTTCATCATTTGAGATGGCTGGGACATGTGTTACGTATGCCCAACGACCGACTGCCTCGATGTGCGATGTTTTGTTGTATAGGAGTAGATTGGAAGAAAGCCAGGGGCGGCGAGACCAAAACATGGCATAAATCCATGAAGTCACTGACAAGTGGACTGAGTCATGTTGGTAGATGTAGACTACCTGGTTGGGGACCGCGATATGATAGCAACCGATGGTTAGAGATCCTGAATGACACGGCTCAAAATCGTTTGTAATGGCGCAGGTGCATCCACTCTTTGTGTTCTCTCAAATTCTAATCTGAATTCTTCATGTCCGTTTCTTTTTTCTCTTTCCAAATTTATTTTACTGGAATATACTCCTTGAATAACATCTTCAAACCCTAATTTTTCTGATTACAGCCTATAATTTTACTACATCTAGCACTACGAGATTTGAATCGACCATTGCATCTCTGTGCTAATGTGGTGTGGCAACTCGAACTGATGTATGTACGTACGAATTTCTACGTTGTTACTGACTGACTGACCCTTAACCATCATCACACATAGAGTTAGTTGGGGGATTGGCGTATGTAATACATGCCCTGTCCACCTTAGTTGATAAAGATCCAGCACTAATCACCCAGTGGTCCCAAAATATACGAGTAATGCTTCAAAGATATGATTAAATACTAGTAACATATCAGTATCCTCTACTCTTAATGGCTGTTTTACATTCATAAAGTAGAACGGCACCTAGTCTCATGAACACTATTTAAATATTGGATGATTATTAAAGCTAAACAGTAAAGAAGTTGAACTGACTCCTCTAGTTATCGCGAGAGAATTTTTGTTCTTTCTTATATACTGATGCAATCAACAATTAAGACAGGTCAAATGGGATTACGTTCAGTTCCTAAACTCTGGCTAATATCGCAGTCAATAGTTAAAACTGGACCAACATCCTTAAAGATCTCAGAAGTTAATCAATAAGGGCCCTCACTGCTATCCCTCTCCTTAGGTTAACTATGGTTTTCTGTACTTGATTCAGCTGTGAGGCTGATTTTGACAACTCATTCAGGTTACTTGGTAAAGGTAGGCAACTGAAGGGTATCTGAGATGCAATCAAATGTTTCTTCAGTGTTCCACCCATCGTTCGAGTATTCTGGGCTGGGAGTGAAACCTTGCCCCATCTTTCGTAGGAGAGCGGGAAATACTCTGTAAAACATACTTTTCTTCATCGAAACTGTAGTCAGTGTGACCGTAGGCAGAAATAACGAAGAGGATACATCTTGTGCCCCTGTTTATTTGTGAGTTCTTATTGATAGCTCACAAGTGACTGTCTATTTGAACCCGGTCTGCAAGAGCTTGTTCTGCGTTTAAACCTAATATTATACACACATCAGAAAGCACAAAAATAAACCTTCAGATCCAAAAACCGGAAAGTCGCGCCCGTTCTCTGTATTGACTAGGTGAGGTTAAGTGAATGACCGCACTTGGTGTTTCGGAGACACAGCACACATTGATAACATGTGATTTTAGAGTAGTCCTACCTAAGGATGTTTGTTAGCTTATTTGACACAAAGTATAAACATCAAAAGCTCCGAGATGTAGTTTAGATTACGGTCTCAGGAGATATGAGATAACATCCCGTAAAGTCAAACTGCTGATAATAGTGGTGTATGGGGGAATAAAAATGATGCCATAGGAGAAGGGTTGATAGTAGGTGTAAGATAATTCTTGAGAAGCGAGAAAAGGATTTAATCGTAAAAAACACTTAGGCGGTTTGTGGAAGTTTGATTTTGAAAGTCTCTTCCCGACCTTATAGTGTGGGGCTCCAGTTTTATCGAACCCCCCTTACGTTTTTTTATCTGCATAGAATCTGATGTGTGGAATAAAGAAGAGCTTGGTTCTGAGCCAAATCACTTGTTTATGATTTTATGTTGCGAGTAATTTTGCTGTTTCTGTCTAAACTGTTAACAAACTTCTTCATTGCAGATAAGTACTGAAATGTCCACTTAATAACTTTTGAGCGATCTTTGTTAGGTTACTTGGTGAATAAATGTAACTAGCTTACCAAGTACAGGCTTATATACTAGGTCATATTGTTTACTTAGGGTTACTGATATTACAGGACTGTCCAAGCAAAATTCCGTTATATGTTCAAAATTGAAACCCGTTATTTAGGAGCCAAGTGGTTAAATCATTTAGGTGGTACTGCGCTACTTTATCAACATTGCTATTTTCATAATTGGATGTTCAATATTCGTTGTATTTTTAAGAAAAGAAATATTCAATAAACCTACTATATATGCTATTTTAAATAATTAAATTTGACATACCAGGTAATTATAACAAGTATTAAGAATTGACATTTATTCATTTTGATGCAGGTAGGTGACTGTGGGGCTGTAATTGGAAGTTATTCACCTCCTTGTGAAGTTCCAGTTACAATTCCATCTTCGATAGACATCTACACTCAAACCTCTGGGGAATATACTAGAGAGCATTGGGAAGCCAAGCTATTGATTCCTCCTCATATATCTGAAAATGAAGCAGATGTTCGGAGAATTAAGTCTAGTCATCCTGTCCATGAAGCTGAATTTATAATCCGAGATGATCGACTTCTTGGTAAGGATATTATTCTATTTATATTTCTGTTTCTTAATAATTATACATGATTTCATAATAGTGAACGTTTCCCACACAGTACATCGATCTGCTGAACAAGACTTTTCCTACCCATTATCAAAATATGAACAATTGTATGTTAAATAATGTTTAACTACTAATGGTATGGTTATTGATAATTTTATTAACTTGAGTGAACAAAGCCTGACCGTTGCTGCTACCTTGACGTGGTGGTCGCGCTCGCCTATCGTGATGAGCTAGTCGCGCTATACTGGCCAGAACCATCGTTCCTCAAGGTCCCACCATGCCAGACAGGTAGGTTGAAGGGTGGCAAGACTAAAATCAGTAAGCCCAAGGTCTGAGGGTGAAGTCGTACTGCTGGCTGTACTGGGGTGTGACGGCAGCAAGGTGCTTGCTTCAGACGGCCAGCATAACAGCGATGCTGCCTTCCCACAAGGAGAGGTGGAGTTAGAAAAGGTCGATTCTAAAAATACGCTTTATCCCACGGATTTCCGTCTCCTGTGGTAAGTTTCCAACAAGTACGGACTTACTTACTTACTTACTTACACCTGTTACTCCTAATGGAGCATAGTCCGCCGACCAGCATTCTGCAACCCACTCTGTCCCGGGCCTTCTTTATTAGTTCTATCCAATTCTTGTTCATTTTTCTCATGTCTATCTCCATTTCCTGGCGTAATGTGTTCTTTGGTCTTCCTCTTCTCCTTTGGCCTTGAGGATTCCATGTGACGGCTTGTCTTGTGACGCAGTTGGGTTCTTTCCTCAATGTGTGCCCTATCCACTTCCAGCGCTTCTTCCTCCACTGGGATCTGGTTTGTTCTTTTCCACAGTTAGTCATTGCTAATAGTGTCCGGCCAACGGATCCGAAGTATTTTGCGTAGACAATTGTTAATAAACACCTGTATTTTCTGGATGATGGCTTTCGTAGTTCTCCAGATTTCTGCCCCATACAGTAGAACTGTCTTGACATTTGTATTGAAAATCCTGACCTTGGTGTTGGTTGACAGTTGTTTTGAGTTCCAGATGTTCTCCAGTTGTAAATATGCTGCTCTTGCTTTGCCGATCCGCGCCTTCACATCTGCATCAAATCCACCTTGTTCATCAATGATGCTGCTCAGATATGTAAAGGTTTTTACATCTTCCAAATCTTCTCCGTCAATTGTGATTGGGTTGGTGCATGCTGTGTTGTATCGGAGAACCTTGTTCTTCCCTTTGTGTATATTGAGACCTACTGCTGCTGAGGCTGCTGTTGCACAGGTCGTCTTCTCCTGCATTTGTTGTTGCGTTTGGGATAGAAGGGCCAGATCATCTGCGAAGTCCAGATCGTCCAGCTGCATCCTAGAAGTCCACTGTATCCCGTGTTTCCCTTCAGATGTTGACGTCTTCATGATCCAGTCGATCACCAGGAGAACGAGAAAGGGTGAGAGTAAGAAACCTTGCCTGACACCAGTCTTCACTTCGAACGATTTTATCAACTTTCCTCCATGCACCATTTTGCAGTTTAATCCATCATAGGAATTCTGTATGATATTGACTATCTTCTGGGGCACGCCGTAGTGTCGAAGAAGTTTCCATAGTGTTGTTCTGTCCACGCTATCAAATGCTTTTTCGTAGTCAATGAAGTTGATTTACAGTGATAAATTCCATTCAGTTGATTGTTCCACAATGATCCGTAGAGTTGCGATTTGGTCTGTACACGATCTATCCTTACGGAATCCTGCCTTCTTGTTTCTCCTTTCTTGATTCTTATCCAGTGTATCAACGGAGCTAATACGAAAATTACCCAAAAAGGTCGTGTGTGACTTGCCTCAAGCAGTTGCCCCTTGGGCACTGTGTTCATGCTGTCAGGTCAATAAGACCAACTCTAACCCAATTTCCTTTTCAGGTACCACTATAAGGACACTTCCTCGGTGTGGGCAACCGGCAAGTGAAAGCCGCTCTCATACCTCTAACAGCACTCAAGACCACTGTATTCATAATCAATTTCCCTCTTCAATTCCTATTATTCTTCCCATCTCAACTTTCAATTATAAACTTCCTTTATTGGCTTCTTCCCCAAGTGTCACCATGGCCAACGATTCTAGTGAGCGAAACACTGTCCCAGGTCTACTGAAACCTCGCTCCGAACTACACATTGGAGCCTTCAACATGCACACCCTATGCCAAATCGACCAGCAGGCCTCCTTGGCTAAAACCCTGGAATCTCGTACCGTTGATGTTTGCTGTGTCTCCGAAACACGCATGCAGGATGTTAGTGTGATCATTCACTCGACCGCACCTCACCAAGGCGGGGAGCCGACAAAACACACCCTCCGTTTATCTGGCGACCTGATGACTAGTTCTCGTGGACTGGCTGGTGTAGGCATAGCACTATGTACGAGGGCAGAACAAGAACGACGGTGAGCAGAGATGGGCGACGAAAGCAAAAGCGATAGAAAAGGCAGCCGCTGTAGGTAACACTAGACATGCTTTTCAGACTAGTAAAAGAAACTGATGCTAACAAGTCAAGTGTAAGTGAGACGATCTCAGGAAAAGACGACACTCTTATCTGCTTTTAGCCCAGACGTCTGGAACGATGGGCGGGAAACTTTAAGGAGTAGTTCAGCTGATCTTCAGCTACTCTACAACTACCCACTATTCCCAAACAGTTTTAATGGAATACTGAAGCAGGCCCCCGACTCTAATTGAAGTTCTAAAAGCCATAGCTGATTTGAAACGTGAAAGAGCCTGGTCCTAAGTTGTAGCTGATTGACTGACTGACTGATTTGTGTTTCGATAATTCTGAAGTAACACGAAAGTCATGGACTAACCAAGTTTAGGTCTCCGCTACGATAGGTAACTTTAATGCGCTCACTAGTACTCTCAGTTCATGGAATTTACTTCAAAAACTACGAGCATTCGCTATCAAGACCTGACTACTTGGAAATTCCTGATGCGAGACCTAATCGCCAAATTCACGATGGACAACAGCGGATATGAAGATATCATGGGACGACGTTGACTGTCTTTGGGAAAGGAACGAGAATGGTGAAAAATTCGCAAATTCATGTGCATTCAACAAGATGGTGTAGAGCCAGTGAAATGTCACTAAGCCCTAGCCAAATCATCCAGCAGTAGGGTCTTTGAATATCGAACCGATCATCGATCCTTGTCAAGGTCAAGGACGTCCAGCGCGCCTTAGTTAACCGTACTCCATGGACTGGCTCATGCGGCGGTAGACTTACTTTCGCTTGTGTCTACTTTAACTAATATATTTCTGTAATAACGTCCTTTGTGTTATACAGTCTTCAAAGCAGCTATAGTACTTTGATACGTCAATGGGGTAATCCACGTTAGGTGCTGACCGCGAGATGTGACTTCGACGTTAGCTGATTCGTCACACCATTCCCGTCTAACTCGATTGGGCCTCCATTCATTCGATATAGATCATCTACGCTGGTGATTTACAATCGTTATAGGCGGCCTCATTTTACAACACAAACGCATTCACTAAGTTACATGGGTCTCACCGGATCACAGTACGCAGAACCAGATCGATCGTATTTGCATTAGTAAAAAATTCAAAAGTAAGAACAAGAAGACGGCAATTAACGACTGCCGAGTAAGAAGATAAAAATTAAAGTAAAGGCTGAATACACAGAAGCAAGCAATCAAGTGAAGAAGAGCATTAGTGCTGACAAGCAGAAACATGTGGAAGAGCTAGCAACGACAGCGGAAAAAGCTGAAAGAGAAGGAAATATGAGGCAGCTATATGACACGACGATGAAACTGGTGAGGAAATCTAGTAAGCCAGGGAAGCCAGTCAAGAACAAAGAAGGCAAGACAATCACTGAGATTCAAGAACAGATGGGAAAATGTGTAGAGTACTTTGAGTAACTGTTGAATAGATCAGGTCCACCGGATAACGAGGCAGCACCTAAGGACCTCCCCATAGATGTCATTCCACAGACCGTAAACATGCTCCACGCTCTATTCACGAAGAAACAAGTGACACTGATAAAGTGAAAAGAAGGAGACCTCAAAATACCAAAGAAAAGAGAACTGAGCAGAAGAATCACACTGCTATCAGAACCAGGAAAAATTTTCTACAAAATGTTGTTGAACTGGATGAAAGATTCTGTAGATACCCAACTTCGAGATCAACAGACTGGATTCCTTAGGGACCGATTGTTCACTGAACAAATCGTAACACTACGGATCATCGTTGAACAATCGATTGAGTGGAACTCATCAATACACATCAACTCCCTTGACTATGAGGAGGCTTTTGAAAGTGTGGATAGGAGAACCTTATAGAACATTCTTCGACATTCTGGTGTATTAGAGAAAATCGTTACCATCAGTCTGAATTCATACGATGGGTTACACTAAAATATCGTGCTTGAAGGACAGCTGACAGACGCATTCCAAGTGAGGATCGGAGTCAGGCAAGGCTGCTTACTCTCCCCCTTTCTCTTTCTTCTGGTAGTTGACTGGATTATGAAGACCTCTACATCTGAAGGGAAGCACGGAATACAATGGACAGCTTGCATGCAACTAGACGATATGGTCTTTGCAGATGGCCTAGCTCTTCTATCCCACACACACACACGAACGAATGCATACCAATAGAACCAGTGTAGCAGTAGCCACTGCATCAGTAGTCCCCAACATACACAAGGTAAAAAGTAAGATCTCCAAATACAACACGGCGAAAACCAATCGAATTAGACTTGATGGAGAAACTCTGGAAGAGGTGAAAACATTCACGTACCTGAGAAGCATCATCGATGAACAAGGAGGATCTGATGCAGACTTAAAGGCAAGGAATACTAAAGAAAGGACAGCTTTCGTATAGTTGGACAACATATGGGACACAAAACAACTGTCAACCAATATCAAAGTCACAATCTGCAATACGGACGCCAAGACAGTTCTATTGTACGGAGCTGAAACTTGGAGAACTACCATAATCATAATCAAAAATCATTTATAGACAGCTGTTTACGCAAGATACTCAATATCCGTTGGTCGGATATGATTAACAACAGCCTACTTTGGGGGAGAACAAAGCAGGTCCCAACTGAGGAAAAGACTGGGAAATGTTTGCTCAGTTGAAGTTGGATGGAGAATGCTGATGGGTGGCCTATACTGCTCCACGAGGAGTGACTGGAGTACATAAGTAGGTATGGTGCATCCGTTTGTTAAACTCGACTCGTCAAAGATTTTGATTTCTAAAAACCAACCCCCACCCTCATCCGCTTTCCCCTTACACCGAGAAATGAAATGATCTAATTTGTAGCAATTTAACGGATTTTATAACTTTCTGGTTGTATTCTAAATTCTTGGCAAGAGACCTTACGTAAAGCCTTGATAGTACCTACAAAAATGACACCTGCCTCAATTCTCATATATTTTGCTGCAACTCATTCTTTCATATGATAATCTATTTCGACTGACTGATCACTTACGCAGTAAATATATGATTAACATGGTATAACGTACAACTCGCCAACTCTCATATTGTTCACTATGGTTTTGCTATTAATAATCACTTTCTAATGCATTGAAACGTACTTAATTGTTCGTTTTATGAACATATTTTTCAACACATTGACACAAGTGAGGAACTCGTTGTAGTAAAAAAATATTGTGTCATGTGCGACATTTTGATCTTGGTTGTAATCTGGCATACCTCGGACAAATTACTGTTGTTCGAGAATAAATTATCATTATCATAATAGGTTAACAAAACGACTATTATCTTAGTAGAGTTTCAGAATTGTGGAATGATAAAACTCCAAAATAGAAAACACCAAAGGGTATACAAATTACGGATTAAAGATATCTGTGGTATGACGGTACAAACATTTATTCTCATATAGTAGCAGTTTAATGAGAGGCGCGTTAACTAAACAACATCAAGTAATTATGGGTAATTGAACAGGACATATTGTGACAAGATAAGAATTTTGGCCGGTACGCTTCAAGAAGCAAGAAAATTTTGTAACGAGAGAGAGAGAAGTCTAATAAGTAAATGTTGGCAAAAATAAATGTGAATAAATTGGCGGACCTTCTATAAAGCTGTTGGCAATAATTTGGCAACTCAAAACTGTGTATGATTCCTGGTTGTTGCATAAATAATCAAAAACAACTTAAAACTGTACGAGTAAAATACATAGCTATTGTTAGATTAAGTTATTTATAGGCAACTATCTACTCATGATACTCAATATCCGTTGATCGGATGCCACTAATAATTTCGCACTATGAATTTCAATTTTATCTAGTTGACCTAAAATTGAAAAACCGTACTTAATGTAGTATAAGTAGTTTCCAACAACTTTCATTTTGTTTCATTTTTAGGTGAATTAATGCCTTTACGTGCATTTGGAGATATTCGTTTCAAATGGTCAACAGATGATTTAAAGAACATCGCACGCTTATTGGATCTCCCCCCTAATTATCCTATTTCTCCACGTTTTTATGCCAGTCCACCCTATTTAGTCGCTACACCTCAAGTTTTGTGGAAACCTCTTTCTCCACTTTGTGATCACTTCTTAATCTTGGGGACAGATGGCTTGTGGGATATGATTTCACCAGCAGAGGCTGTGCATGTGGTTGCTCGTCATTGGTATGATTACAAAGGTGTAAGTTTTTGTATATAATTTTGTGTTTTGTACAACAATATTGCGTTCATATAGAGAAAGTATTTGCCCTCATGCGTTTCACAGATTTGTGAGTTCATCTGTGAGGGGGGTATAACATTAAGTTGTTTTATAAAAGATCAGAAGTTCATACTGTTTTTGAATTTAAAACATTTGTTAAAGTGCTGTGGTCCAGTGATTAACGAGTTCAACATTCAATCCCTTTACTGTTGGAGATTTTTCTTCTATTTAGATAATTGGGCAGTGTGTGTAGTCATCAACAAACAACATTAAAATCAATAACAACCTCATCGTTTAGCCAAAGTTGGTGGCGATTAGTAATTCAAGTCACTACAACGCTTTTGTTAGCATAAAAAGCGCGAATTTTCTGAAAATCGAGGTTACTCCCTGACGATCAGTATCAAAAGTTGGATTTTAATGTCTGACATTATTCCTATAAATCGGGCTACAAGTTCCAGTACTTCATAATTGTTGTTTGCTTTAGATTTTTTATCATCTTGTTACTCTTCAATTAAGCATATGTTAATTTATACCGTATCTGTTTTATTTCAGAATCCATCTTGTGGTTCTGGGGATACTGCTGCTAGTCGTTTAATTCGAACTGCACTTGGTGGTACAGAAATGAATTCCGAACAAATAGCCTTACACTTTTCAATGCCAGCTTCTTTAGCTAGATATTACCGGGATGATATTACTGTTATAGTTGTTTACTTACCTACTGCTTTCTGCGATTCTTCGTAATGATTAATTATTACTTATGTGTAATTCAGATTAGTTGTTTCTATTTCAACTCTAGTTCTCATCTACCTATACTCTTGTTTACTCTCCTAAATATCTTGGGTATCATGTGCACAGAAATGAATTATTTCACATAGGCTAAAAATCTGTATGTTGACTAGTTTCTGGTGTTATTCAGCAATGTGATAAATACTTTCCTAGTTTCTTTATCCTCTGGCTTTATTAAATAATTTTTTTTATGTGGTAGCTCCTGTAATCTAAAATAGTATTAGCTATCACCGATTAGTTAGCTGACCACTTATTAAAACTCGATGTATATTGAAACTGCATTTAAATCCTTTTATATATATTGTATTACCTTATTAATTAATCTAAGTTATTACGATTATTTTGCTTTTAGTCACTTTCTTATAGTAAACTTTCGCTTTGTAACCCTAACTATACTTTTCTACTGAAATTTCCTATGTATCTCCGATAGAATGTTTATCATTATAATTATTGTTGTTTATAATTGTTCAAACTCAGTTAAATCACATTTCAATACTTAGTTACCTTAGTTTACTTTTCATTTTTAAAAATTTTATTTGATGCTTGTATATCTCAAGTTCGTTCATCATGAGATCACAAATGTGATTGTGGAACTTGGTATAATTGGGGAAAGAATTACTGTTAAAAAACTACTGTGATTATCATCCTACTGATTAGTATGCTACTGTCATCAACCAGGTCTCGTTAGTTCAACAATTTTATTTTAATCCGTTAAACTGTGAACATAAAAAGTGCAAATGGGTTGTTGTTTCTACTGTTATTATTAATAATGTATAATCAGATATGTTTTAGCTCATGTATGTGTTTTTACATTAATTTTTTGTTTTCAAATGTATCCACTTATTTTCTATCCAGTCTTATCATACCTTACCTTCCTGTACTTTTGATTCGTTCATGTTTGATATTTTTGAACAAGAGACCCGTATACATTGTATTCTTGACTTGTATATTTATTATTCGTTATCTCTTCCAGCTATCTGCTGATAAACTTATCATTATATACTGCCTTCCTTACTGAGTTTGATGTCTCTTTCTTTTCGTGAAAAATATGAGGTTAAAAAAAGTAAGAAGAATTTGAGGAAAAGTAATCATGTATCGTATCACTTCTACCGATCATCAGGTATGAGTTCATGTGTTATAAATTGTTAATTTGTTTTTACTCGGTTTTGGTATATTTATGTAATGAATTATAAATCAGAACTGTCTCTGATTAAATATTGTTTGTACATAAAAAATCCAATATAAAATTCTTTACTAACCATATTTTAAACGATTTTACTTGGCATCATTTGTTCTATCATATCCTAAAGTTTTTACGGGTTTCATCGTTTGGGAGCTTAAAAAGACACCGATAAGTCACGTTCGGTGTTTATAAGCGATTGATAGGAAACTCTGAATATAGTTTTCGTGCAAGTTGGAACCTATCCCCTGCGCCTATAGGCAGTTTTGAGGGAACTGATACTCCATGAGTTTTGCACCCATCAATGTCGAAGTCAGGAGTATTACCATTAATATATTCGTGAGGAAACTTCTGCTGTCTGATAATGGAATTACTGTGATTTATATGGAACCGAATATACTACATGTTAGAAGCTTGGCGTTAATTTTAGATACAATTAACTGGACATCAATCCAAAAGTTTCTCGTATCTAGTGTCTATTTCTCTATATATATGAGTCCATGTATAAAAGATTATTATCCTCATCGTGTTAAGGCTCGATACCTTTATTTCGTACATTTGCACGAAAAAAACTAGGGGAATTCTACCGATCTAGATTTTGTCGTAGTCGTTATGATTTAAGAATAAGATTTAAGATAGTTATATCATTATAATAAAAGTAACGTCATGATTTCGTCTTCAAATGTTATGCGATTCATAATCTTATGGAATCATATCGATGATAACAATTTTGTTTATTTTCATGGGTATTTAAGTAATTTGAGGAATCCATTTATTTGCAAGAAGTAAACTATCATCACCAACCTAGCTCAGAAATAGTAAGGAATCCTAGTATGAATTTTTCTTCAAGGTCACTTACACTTCGATGTTCCACTTGATTAACAACAGCAAGATTTTAAGGTATCGAAACAGGTGATGTGAATAGAATATTTCAGTTTCACGAAAGACTCACAAGTCGAATTATTAGACTTGTTTCAGTTGGGTTTGAATGTCAGGTACAAAACTAGTGAAGATGATAACAGCAAAAGTAAATAGCTTGAGACAGCCACATTTGTTGCTCATCTGAAGTAACATACGTTAGTGCTACTTTCTAGATTATTCTCATATTGAATTTATCACCAAACTCATCTAAACCCTAGAGGATCATTACTACCAACTTGTTCGTCTCAATCAGACAACGAGTTACACTTAATGAACTATTGGTTCCCTAAAATCATTCGAAGTCAGACGTACTGATATACCTAATTTTCTAGAATAGTCGCTCACGTGTATTCAGGTGTTATGTCTTACTCTACTTCATCATGGTATGTTTCGAAGCATCTCCCCAAAAATCTAATACAATTTTTTTCTACATTTACGTATTGTCTCCTTTTAAATCAGATCAAAAGAGTAAACGTCAAGGGTGATGAACTCTGCTTTCTTAATCATTTATTATATAGGAGCAAGCATGTTTCATAATTTTCATATGGCAAAGCTTTATGTGTATACTGGGATTATTGAGGGCCACTGGACAGTTTGTTAGCATTGTACTGGAAGACATTACAAAATAAAGCGTGATTAGCTTGTATTTGATGATTATGGGATTTTGTGGCGCTGGCTTTTTTTCATTAGTGAACCTCTGTGAATCGAACAAAACGGGACTAATTATTGATAACAAGCGTTTCTTAACTGTTTAGAAAGGATGTTTTCGTCGAAAAATTTCCACAGTAATAACACATGTATAAACTGTTATGGGAGATAACAACATAACATGCTAATCTACTTTGGCTTGGATTCCTCAATGGATTTAGTCCCTGTGTTTGATAAACTTAGTCTGTCATCGAGTTATATGCAACTTGGGGATAGTGACATCAGTAACGCGAAAAATTAATGGAAGGAAATTGCCTACAAACGGAAAGGAAAGAAAATCAGTATAACATGTGATGCTCAGTAAAATAATGTTTTAGTCTAAATTGTCCTGATATCGCGTTCATTTTTTACAGATAAGGAGGGATTTTTCAAAGTAGAACATATGTTATTGATGACAACTATAACTTATTTTGTACAAATGTGTTTATAGAGAATAAATACGGAGCTTTTGAAAGTAGTTTATCATCACCCACATAGTCCGTCGTGTGATTTAAGATTGGATCAGATATTTTATAAAGCTTACATTGAAAGTGTTACGATGATTCATTACAGAGTTCTAGAAGACAGCATAAACGAATTGCGTCTAACCGTTGGGGTAGCAGAATGACTATAATAGAATAAATAGATAGTAATCTCAATGTTTGCTTAAAAGATGTAGGAGTTAGGTTATCTTTATCAACGAATAGCAGAACGTTTATGAAGAACATATTAATTTATAAGTTTAGAAGGGATTAATAAAACAAATATACATACTTTAATGGTAAGTGAAATCCTGCGAACCACAGAAAGTTTACGCGAAGTTACATTTTGAGGTAAAAAGAAAATTTCGAATAAATTAACAATATTTCTAAGTTCGTGGTTACTTAATCTCTGGGAATGGAAGTAGCGGCCTATAGAGTTATACAAGAGGTTAGTTAATTTGCTTTATTCAACCTGCATGGTCGAACCTAATTAAAATTTGTATGCTTAACTACAGGATAACACATCCATAGCTTTAATTTACTATCACAGTTGTGACGATAAAGAAATTCTGTTATTCAGTAAAGCATAACTAAGATGTAGTTGACAGTTATGTTACCGCCACCAAAATGCTTGCTTGTGAACCTTGTACATATTTTTGAGCAATCGAGTACGCTCAGTATTACTGATTTGCATGTTTTTGAATAGTGTATTATAAAACATTTGATTAAGGAATACTGTTTTGCAGACTGGGTGACGTCATATTTTAATTTTCGACTACATAAAGGGATGTATTATTTTGTAATTAACATTTCATCTCAAGAATGCTCCGGCTAAAGAGTTTTTGAGAACTAGTAGTTAGTGAGCACTGTTCATCCTAGTTTGGGACCATTCATTAATATCCGATGACTATTTTCAGAGTCAGATTAAAGACATATTTACCTTACCATATGCTTCATCCAATTTACTGGTAAAATGTTTTCTAGTCAAATTTCTGTAGGCCACTAAAATCTATCAAATTCCCGATTTTTTGTTGCATATCTTTGAATCTGAAATATATTCGAGTATCAAGAAACAAGTGACCTAGTTGTGTAATTCTACTGAAAAAGTGAACTGCATGTTGATAGTATGGTATCAGCCTAAAAAATACCATCGCTATACGAAAAGTCTCAGTTTTCGAATATTAAACATGGCGAGTGTTTGCAGAACATTTTAAATAAGTAGATTGTTGGCTGAAAGAATGTGTTAGTAATGTTGTGTTTCAATTGTCTTTATTAACACTCACTTATATAACTAAGAGTACTTAGATTATTTTTAGAATTACAAAAACTTATTGAAAAACATTAAATTTAGGAACATCATCCTTGATCATTTCATTACCCGACTATACTTATATAAGCACGAGAAGGTAGTTTTCACACTTCGTTTCATAGATTCTCATCTGCAACAACCACCTCGAAATAGTGTTATTTATTTCCCCATAAGCAATAAGAATGGTACTTAATTCATTATTTACAACTAAGGATTATTTATTTATTTATTTGAACACATAAATATTGGTACAAGAGGGCACCAAATATATATATACCACACAAAACAATGAGAATTCGGAGAGAAAAAAAAGAACAATAACGAACAGATTAGTGTAAGGTAATGTAATAATAATAATAATAATAATGGGGGAAAC